TCTTCATATCTTAATACAGCCCAGTCCACTAATAAATGCTTGGCAAACATTTTCCAAATGAACTGATGTATTCTAATTACCATAGATAAAGAAAATGATGTGCTAATTCACAGCACAGTCATAGGTATTGAATGAATGTGGCTGTTATCACTGGATTAACAGAACCCTGTACTTAGGAAAATCAACTGACATATTTAGTTGACTGTAAGAAAACAAACTCCCCCTTGTTCCTCTTTCTTTTTCTTCACTACGAACTCTATGAGAGACTCTTTCATGGAGTGGTGGCAGCCAAACGGCCCCAAGTCCAACAGAAGGATCGTTTGGGAGTGATGGTCTTTGCCCTTTGTCCTTGGGCATCTTTCTCCTTGCATGACTGACTGTCAAGAGGAATTCACTTTAAGGCCATCCAGACAGAGACTGAGGTTCAGATGTGAAAGGCTCAGGATGCTGAATTCAAATTCCCTGCTCTTCAGGAAGAGCAAGAGAGATTACTATTCTCTTGACATTCTCCCTCTGTGTTACCCCTTGTGCTGCTGTGAGTTTACACCCATTGCCAGGAGCAAGTGTTGGATCCAGTGGGGAGTGTGGGAGCAAACAATTATGACACCAGAAAGAGAAGGATAGCCTTCCAGGTGACCCCACTTAACAACACGTGGCTGCACTGTCCAGGAAGCCAGGACAAACTGAATCAGCAGCATCCTAGCTAGCAATGGAGATAGCACCTTGTCTTTCTCCTTTGCACAGCTTGGAGCAATACCCTTGACCTCTCCAGGAGTTTGGTGTCTTCATCAGTGAAATGGGTCTGATCCCTGAGGATCCTCCTCTCCCGTACTTTCATTTCACTAATTGGATCTGTGTTTTTGCAGTGGTCAAAGGTGATTAATAAAAATGCTTTTGGTTTTTTTTTAATATCACCATTTTGAAACCAGACAGAGTTTTCAAATCTAATTCTTGTTCTCCCTGGCTTATTGAAGTCCTAATTTTTAAAATTATTTGTCAAAGTCTGCCCTGTTCTAATTTATATTCCTCATAGTATATCTTTTAATTCCTCTTCTGTACCCCAGAGATCATCAACTGTCACCAAGGTTAAACAATAGGGCCTTGATCTTAGGGTGAGTTTTATGACAAGGGCATTTATTGGAACATCAAGGCATATGGGAGTTTTCTTTTCCTTCTTCCCCATGGGTCTCCTTAAGCATACTAACTGTTCCCTGTGAATGTGAATTTTAGTTAAGTTCAAGGTCCAATGACAATTTTTAAAGACCTGTTTTATTTAAACCTCCCGTCGAGCTGAATAAGAATTTTTCAAAAGAGAAGGCAAGCTTCCTTCTAGCATCTGCTCTGGCTAATTCTAGGCCCTCAGACTGGCCTAGTTTATGGGGCAGATTAGAGAACAAGACTTTTCGATCTGAGAGGGCACTGCCTCACACAAGACAGAGTTTCATTGCTGCAGAAGAACCTAACACATTTGAGCTTTCTTACAGTGTTAAGTGCTTTCCTGTGCATTATCTTAGGTATTAAAATAACATTTCCAAAATAAAATTGAACTTTGCAAGGCTAAGTAACTTGCCTGTGTTCATGTCCCTACAACAGGCATAAAAAAGGGCTGAACTTAAACCAAATCGCCTCCAAGCTAAATTTTGTCCACATTGCAGTTGGGTTGTTTTCTCTGGTTATTTGCTCAAGATGGTGCCTAAATGATGTAAGTCTTATTCTGCCATTACCTAATTTGTTTTTTAAATCACTCCAATTCATTTTCAGATACTTCCTCCCAGCTGGTGGCTTACCTTCTCATAATCCTAACTGCATCTTTTAAAGAGAAGTTCTGAATTTTGATGACCTTTAATTTCTCTTTATTTCCCTCTGTTGGTGGATTGAACACGTGATGTATAGCCTTCATCTAACTCCAGGTTACAAATGTGTTCTCATACATTTTCCCCCGGAACGTTTACAAGTTTGGCGTAATTGCTATTGATCTTGCAGGGGTGAGGAGTAGGGTTTGTTTTGTACAGGAACATCTAATTACCTTCACATCATTTGTTGACAGCTAGCTTATCTCCACTGAACGGCCTTCACACTGTCCATGTGCCTATCTGTGGGCAGCTGCTCCATTCTGCCAGCCGTCCCCTGGATCAGTTTTATACCAATGCAATAATGCCACTTGAGCTCCTCAGAAGGTCTTCAAATTCCCCCATTGTTGCCCCTTTCTTTGAAAATCGTGTATGCTCTCCTAGGTCCATTTTTGAAAATGTTTTATGTAGCTATGGATGTGATTATAAAACGATCTAGAGACTCTAAACGTCGTTTAAAATTTAAAAAGATTATGGTTGAGAATTGGAATGTCTGGCCTGTAGCTCCATCAGGAAGTAGGAACTCTGGGCACAGGATCCCATTTGGTTATTAAAAAATCAATGCATGTACCTTGTATGCATTAAGTTTTTCAAGAATACCTAGATGATAATAATTTATTATTAGATCTGAATTGGATGTAATTCCAGTTTTCAATAATACTTCAGAAACTATTGTGAGACCTTAGTCAATGTTTGTACCCTCTGTCATTGTCTTAGCAAAGTGCAGATTCACAGATGAGAGGGCACTTGTACGACTCCAGGGGCTCTGCCTCCTGTGCCGTCCTCTCTGCTTTGGATTTAGGGGATGGGTTTCCTCGAGTTTCTGAGGAGTTATATTTGACAGTGATGTGTGAAGTATTCTGGTGTCTGTCTCCTTTATTAAAGCATAACCTTGTTTGCTGTAAGCTTGCTCTCTGCCGGGCACAGTGAGGAGTCACTCTTAATTAGGCCAGGGAAAACGCTGATGACATTCGCCACTACTACCCCTGGGTGCTAGTGAGCAAATTAACCTCATTGGTTCCCTATTTTATCATTTGTCCATTAGAAGATTTAAACTAGTCAGCTTTGAGGAGACAACTTAGCGCTAAAATTCTGACTCTTCTATGTTTATTTGCTTAAAAATTGTAACCCTTTTAAGAAGTAAACAGAAGCGTTTAATGGCATTCAGCATGCTGATCATAAGAGAAGAATTGGAAAGTCTGTTTTTGACGTGACACCTAAATATCCCTCTACCACAGCCTCTGACTCTACTCACCTCTCAACTGTGGCTGACAGGAGCAGCTACAGTGCCTGTCATGGGTCCTTGTGCTATGAGAATCTATAGCCCACGAAGCCCTCTCATTCTGAGAAGAAGAATGACCACGGAACCTGGGCTGCTTGTAAAAATCAGTGGTCCCCGGGCTGGTGGGCTAGGTTTTCAAATACAACTCCAAGGTAACGGATGATAATATTGAAACCAAGAGCACTTTAAATACCTTCAGTGTCCACTATACGCCGAGACACAACTTCACACCCATATTCCTAGATATTCTTACAGGACTAGAACATTAGGTAGCCTGCTTTTTATCAGCAAAACAAAACTAAAATGAACATGTATTTAGAACAATATGGGACCAATTACTGAGCATCTTCTGTCTTCGTTTGCTTTCTATTGCTGTGATAAAGGCTATAATCAAAGAGAATCTGGGAAGAAAGGCTTACTTTCCTTACATGTGCCAATCACTGTCCATCACTAAGGGAAGCAAAGGTAGAAACTCAAGCAGGCAGGAACTGAAGCAAAAGTCACGAGGGAGTGCTGCTTACTGTCGCTCTCCATTTCTTGTTCAGGCCTGCTTTTTGATAAATCTAGGACCACCTAGTGTAGTAGACTGGGACCTCCTACATCAATCATTAATAAAAAAAATGCCTTATAAACTACAGTACAATCTGCTTCAGGGATTTTCTCAATTGAAGACCCTCTAACCCAGTGACCTAGTTTGTGTCAGGCAACCCTATGGTGTATCAGGTGCTGTTCCAAGTACTTCTTTTGCATTCTTGAAAATTGGGCATCATAAACTCCTTATCATAGAAGAAGTGGTACATCTTTTCTGTCAGTGACAACAGTCATTAAGTAATAAGTGACAGAGATGGTCATCTTAACAGTTTTAGCTTAAACTATTCATGACCCCATGAAAGTCTAGTTCTCAGTACCTAGCCAGTAGATTTAGGGAGTCATTGCATTTATAGTACGAATCTAGTACTCTAAACCAGAATAACAAGTGCTGAGGGATCATTTGGGGTCAACTTGATAGAAGGAAGAATTCACAGGAGGTTTCCCAAAGCAGTTGCTCTGAGCTGTATTTTAAAACGAAGGACACAAATCGGCCCAAAGAGAAAGGTGAGTTTGTGTTAAAGAGATGGATTTGATGAGACCATGGACATCCAAATGGTCAAATTATGTGCTTGGGAAGCATCATTAAGACCCAACTCATTGCAGGGTAATAACTAGGAATAACGCTGACGTCATAGGGACTGAATCCAAGAAATTTAAATTCTGGTGCTAGGCACTGGAGATACATTCTCAGAATTTAAGCAAGCAGGGAACATAGCTAAAATGACATATGAGTTATCCAATAGCTGGTTTAGAATCAACAGAATTTTGAATGATTTGAAGGTCAAAAGAAAATTTCTTAGCAAAATATATTCAATATTCAAACATTATCTTTGTGACTGTAATGCTGTGTGACCTTAATTATACAAGGACAGTGTGTTTGGGCCTCTGAATTAAGAGACCTGGGTGCAGATTTTAGACAATATTTTGGAAATAAAAGTTGCTAATCTACCATAAACTGTATCATACCACTTTCAGGCCCATCATCACTGGTATTGTGTCATATGCATAGAAGGAACACACAAGGTTACAGATTAAACTCAGGACTGGGCAAATAGAAATCTCTCAACAATACGTATTAAATTGAGTTGAACTGAAGTCCACTTCCAGAAGGCAATTACTGCTCCTGAGGGAGGGCTAATGTGTTTGGTGAATTATAGCCAGTTCATTTCCATTATAAACTCACTAATGCCGACTTAATGTCTCTTGACATTTTTCTAAAGCATTTCTTCTTTATTCTGTCTGTCTGTCTCTCTCTTTCTCTTTCTTTCTCTCTCCAGTTCCAGAGACCTAATGACTTCTCACCCCCTTTCCGCTTTGGGACTGTGCCCAATGGCAGCACAGAGAGGAATATCCGTAATAACTATGCAGAAATGCATGCCTACATGGGAAAGTTCAACCAAAGGGGTGTAGATGATGCCTTGCTCTCCCTGAAAACAGGGTAAGAATGGCCTCTAAGCTCAGACTGATATATTTCTCACCTCCATTGGACACAGATTGAACGAGAACCATACTCATTAAATCAAAGACTGTTTCCAAGTCAAATTTGATGGCGTTATTCCAACCATTGTACAAGAGTTCTTATGCTGTTACTTGGTTCTGTGCACCATCCTGCAAATTGTTTTCTGCTTGCATGAATGTGGATGGCGTGCAAAAGAAACAGATGGAAAACTAGAAAGGAAGAGTCAAGGAGAGAGCGCATATCTGTTACACGTGAGCTGTAGTCTAAGGGGTGTAACAGACAGTTCTGTTGTCTATGGATAAGGGGGAAATGAAACTGGAAGTATGTAAAAATTTGTAGATGGCAACAAGTAGGAATGTGTCCACTGATCTCCAATTTCAGCTTTGATTGTCACTCCTGATAACCATTCTCTGTACCCAGTGTGTATTTGTGCACAAGCTGTCGATGTAGCTCTCTGGGCATGCTCGTCCTTTGGTTGGAGAAAGCCAGAGCTGTGGAGAAGGACCAGCACTTGAGCATTGTAACTGTTGAGATTTGGAGGCTGATGGGTCATATGGCTGTTTCCATCTGTTCTGTGATGACCTCCTCTAGCCACCTTTGCACCTCAAGGTTTCCAAGTGCCACCTAGATTTGTGGCCATTTAGATTGCAGGGGCATTCAATCTCACTGCTCTGAACAAAGTCACAACAGGTTTCAGAAGACAGGATCTGAGGTTAGGGTAGGAGTGCTCTGGGTAGTCCAAACCATGGGATACCCATAGTTCTCAATTATACCAGATGCTTGGTGTTTGAGCATGCCGCCAAACTACATTTTATAGGATGCATTTAATGAAATGGCCTGTTGCTTGTCACGTCAAAAAGGGCTTGGTTTTGTTGTTGTTGTTTTCTTGAGTAGTGACAAAGCTCCCTAGCCTGTAACTGTTCTGGTGGGTTGCATGTCCTGCTCACATTCATACCCATTACTTGCATGGCTTTATCTGAGCTACCCCCTCGGCTTTTCTGTGCAGAAATGTTTGGAAACAATGGTGCATGCCTTCTTGCTCTCAGCTCTCATCTTTTCTCTGTGCATCCCTTCTTTGCAAAGCTCACTGTCTCACTCGATGTGCATGTAGGCTTAAGAATTTGAAGGACCTTGGTCGTTCTGTATGTTGCCTTCTCTTGCAGTGCTTCAAATTTGCTCTCATACAAGCTTGTCAGTGGCCTGGCCCCTCAAAGCAGAGTCACATAACACCAGAGAATACTGAAGTCTTTCTGACTACCAAAAATAGCCACCTATCTACTGAGACATATACACCTACACTTTCCCCCACTCTGGACTGTAATGAACTGAGAAATGAAAAATGTTATATAAACCTTACCCGTGCTATTTGTTATCACTGCGGTGTTTATTTTTCATTATTTCTGTTATTATTTTTATTGATTCCTGTTTACTCCTTCTCCTTTTCAGACACAGCTTATGAGTTGGCCTCGGGCCCAACTTACATTCTTATCATTCCTGGTGGGAGGGGGGAAATAAAAGAAACAACTCCTTTCAAACTGAAGTCCTATCAAGAGCAGCCTGGGATGCAGGCTTTAGACTCTGACAATAGTCCAACTTGAGCCTTACTGTGAGCCAGTCTTACATATAGCTTCTGCAACCCTACCACTTCATACTAATGGCCCAGTAGGTAGTGTTGTTGTGTAATTTCCTCCTTGGTATTTGTGGATTTGTTTCTTTCTTGTGCAGGAAGCTCGATGCTTTCATCTATGATGCAGCTGTGCTCAACTACATGGCCGGAAGAGATGAAGGCTGCAAGCTGGTGACCATTGGCAGTGGCAAGGTCTTTGCTTCTACGGGCTATGGTATTGCTATCCAAAAAGACTCTGGGTGGAAGCGCCAGGTAGACCTTGCTATCCTGCAGCTCTTTGGTGATGGTGAGTTAAAGAAAGGGGGAGTGTCTACTTGGCCTCAACCAATAGCTGTTCTAAAATACACCCTTTATCCTCTGTGTATCGAAAACAGCATGTCACAGGATATGGTTAGATTGGAGAGCACTTTTTAGATTCTTAGGGCAGCCATAACAAATGACAGGAATGGTATGACATAAACAGTTGAATTCATTGTGTTGAAGTTCTGAGTACTACAGGTATCAATACAGGTAGCTTCACTTGGCAGTGATGTGGAGGAATCCTCTGTAGGCTTGTTGCATGGCTTTCTATGGCTCTTTTTGGAGTTCTCTTCTTATTGGTTCTCCTTGGCGTTCCTTGACTTGTCAGAGCACCACTCAGATCTCTACTTTCATTCTACCTGGGTGAATGCCTTTCTTCTGTATTCATCTCTCGCTGCATCCACCCTTTTTTTAAGGTCAATCACATGAGGTTAGGGACCTGCTGGGTTCCACTGTGGCATCTGCAATGAGCCGATTTCAATGTCACACACACCCTAAGCTACCAGAAAGGTGGGGTTTAATATGTGAATTACAAGGAGACATACTTTAGCCTGCACTGGGTAAAGATGAAGAAAGGGATGAAAGTAGTTGGTGACAAAGGAACATTGGAAGATTATGTGGGATATTGAAACCTTCAGGAATGAAGTAGGCTACAGTTAGATGTTTCAGATGTCACCCTACATGTGACACAAGACCAGAAAGATGTAGGACAGTGCTCTTTCTATTCCTGGAGGAAGGAAAGAGAAATAAATGTGTGTCTGTTTCTGCATCCTTCACTCTGTCCTGACATGATCTTCTGGCTGAAGAGGTGGAGGGCAAGGATTCTCAGATGTAGATACCAGAAGCCACTTTGTCTTCCGGTCTTTGTGCCTTTGTGGTGATGGGTTGAACACTGAGAAATGTATCCCATCCAACTACTATCTTCTGCATTTCTCTTTGTGTCCTTGGCCAAAGCACTCTACTCACAACCCTCACACAAACTAATCTAGATACAGATGAGCCTCGATCTGCGTGATTCCCTGGTCCATCCACCATGTGGGTCTGTCAATTGGGGCTGTAAGACATTTTCTGTTGGGGAAGACATCAGAGACACAAGCCCAGGGGTAGGTTTCCAGATTCCACCTGAATATGGCTTCTATACTAGTTAGGAAAAGCATTGTTGAGTTGAAGATGAGAAGAAGAAAAGTGAGTGGATTCCTATAAGAAGGAGTAGGGTTTTGTAGCTGGAGTGCTGATAAACTGTGCTAGTCGAATCAGTAGCCATAACCAGATGGATCCAGATTCTATTACCAAGTAGACCGGTAGACAGGATTTGGGGTTTCATTGTGCTATGCAAATGCAAAATGTTAGCAAACTAGAATTTCATTCATGTGAATTAGTGATATTCTAGAGTAGATACTTGTTTTCTTTCTTTCTTTTCTTTGTTTTTCCGTTTGTTTGGTTTGGGTTGAGTTTTTGTTGTTGTTGTTTTTGTTTTTTTATCTGAAATTTCTATGTTTCTACTGATTAGTGTCCAGTGATAATAAGTAAGAACGACACACGTGGAGAAGTCCGTGTTCCTTTAAGCAAAGTTGAGAGGAGGAGGTTGGGATGGTTGTGTTTCATTCCAGCTTCCTCCCCTTGTTGGCTTCATATTTTTCTCTATAAGACATCTGCAATTCTGGGAAACCATAGAGATTCAACCTTTCTCAATCTCTTTCTACCTCTCCTTCCTCAATCTAATCTGCTCTGTATAATTCCAAGAGGTTTTACCCATTTTATTATGTTATCTCCATTGTCTAGAAAATAAAAGGCAAAGTGTTTAACCTCAGAATTCTTTTACCAAGCTTTCTGAGGATGAGGGTTACTCCGCTTGAACTAGTTTTCTTGCCTCTCCCTAAATGAGCATCTATTTTCCTACGGTGATTATTCTACATCTGCAGTCTAGAATGCCTTTAAATATAATATAAATTAAAATACATTCCCATTCTCAAGTTCATGTTCTCTCTCTCTCTCTCTCTCTCTCTCTCTCTCTCTCTCTCTCTCTCTCAATCTCTCTTCTCTCCCCCACCCCTCTCCCCTCCCCCTCCCCATACCCGTACATCTACCTCTACCCCTTGCAGTCTAGAATGCCTTTAAATATAATATAAATTAAAATACGTTCCCACTCTCTCAAGTTCGTGTTCTCTCTCTCCCCTTCTCTCTCCCCTCCCCCTCTCCCACCTCTCACCGCTCCCCGTACCTCTACCCCTCTCTCTCTCTCTCTCTCTCTCTCTCTCTCTCTCTCTCTCTCTTTCTCTCTCTCTCTCTCTCAAACCCATTGATTGCTTTGCCCACAAACTGTTCTCACTAATTTGAACCCTTGCTCCTTGCACGACATATTGTATATAATAGCAAACATTGAGCTGCTGAGTTGCACTGGCTAAAGGAGAGTCAAAGGGAAGTCCCATGTCCTTCTGTTACCTATAGTTCCATTCATTACATTTCCACTGAATACTTAGGGATGTTTTGATATGTTAAGATGTAACGGTATTAATAAAAGGTATTCTTTTCTCTTTTTTGTGTTTGTCCCTTTCTGTCATGTTTCTATGCTCTTCTTCAACTCCCTTTTTTCCCTACCTTCTCCTCCCTCCCTCCTTTATCTGTCTCCTTCTTGTCCTCTTTCTAGGGGAGATGGAAGAACTGGAAGCTCTCTGGCTCACTGGCATTTGCCACAATGAGAAGAATGAGGTTATGAGCAGCCAGCTGGACATTGACAACATGGCGGGCGTCTTCTATATGTTGGGGGCAGCCATGGCCCTCAGCCTCATCACCTTCATCTGTGAACATCTGTTCTATTGGCAATTCCGGCATTGCTTCATGGGCGTCTGTTCTGGCAAGCCTGGCATGGTCTTCTCCATCAGCAGAGTAAGTATTGGTCGAGATATTCAGAGCTTGCTAAGAACAGTTTAGCCTTGCTCTGTGCTGAGTAGAGAGACCCAAGAGGGTACTTGTTCCAGTCTTGTGTAGCTAAACCATAAAGCCAGATAATCATGGGCACATTCCCAAGAGTCTGTGTGAGAGAATGTCAAGTGCTTCGAAGATGTGTGGTGATATGTTTCCTTCCTTCCATTTTAGACTCAGACATTTGATTTTCTATCAAAAAAGGCTGCTCTCTCAAAATAGAAAATTTGGCTTTTCCCCATTTGCCTCTTACATCTCCACTAATTGATTCTGTATAGGCTGTGTTAATCAATTGATCCTTTGGGGGTGGGAATCATATCTTTTTCTTAAATAGCGGAGTGTCACATAACTTATTCTAACACACAAAGACGTATTATTGGTGTTTTTACTGTTCCTATATTTTAACCACATGTGAAGCAAGGGAAATTAAAGATCCTAAAGGTTGGACATGGTGACATATGACTCCAAAAATACCAATACTGGTAGACTGTAGCAAGAGGATCACGTGTGTACGTGTGTGTGTACATGTGTGCATGCGTGCGTGCCTGTGTCAGTGGGATACGTATATAAATAACATTTGAAAAAGCCTAACAGAACCCAAGTCTTGATTCATAAAAAAAAAAAATGTTCCAAAAACTTACTTAAAAGGAGTAAAGTTCCAGACCGTTCTTTGTTTAGAGATCACCTTCATTTCTGATTCAAAGCGAGGTATTAAGAAGACGGATCTATGAACTTCAGATCACAGAGGGGAGTTTTTAAAGAGTAGGATTTTCTGATTCTGCTGATATAGTTGTGGGGACTCGGGCATGGAGTGGTGAACTCAGATAACCTTTTAGGATCAAGGATTGTGTTGCAGATATGACTCAAATAGAGTTATGAAAGAAAATGGATCTCTCATTAAACTGTCTCATTTTCTGGTCATTTGCCTGTAGTGTTTTAGGGACAGGGAACAATTTCTTCATTTCCTCTCTAGCTGTCAGTAGATGCAGGTCATTCAGTCACGTGAGAACAGGAGAAAGGAACTTGGGGAACCCTGGTCCCTGGGCCTTGGGTTCCATTATCCAGCACTTCCCAGAGGCCAGAGAGGTGAGAGAAAAGAGAAATCTCACTTGTGGCCCTCTGACATGGGCACTGTCTTCACAAAAGACGACACCTAGTATTTCCTCCTGGACACTGTCAAGAGGTCAGAAGTAAGAAGCAGAAAGGGAATGGAGTCCCCTACGGGAAGACCTTATGTCTCACGAGGCCTGACACTTCTTGACCATAGAGCTACCATTTTCCTTCTGACCTTTTCTGTTCTCGGCCCTGACCATTCAGATAATCTTCTTTTCTGGATTAACCTTCTCGTATGTAGACACAGTTTAAAGCCACTTCTTCATCTACCTTACCTTGCTAGGGAGAAAGTCCCAAGTCTGTTTGCCTTTTATGGTAGCACAGGGGAGATGAACAGTAGCTGACCTGACTTTAGATATTGGGAGATTGTCTGCCAGGCAAGCAACCCCGCTCCTCTCATGGATGCTGTTCTTCAGTGCCCTGAACAAGTAGCTGTTTGCCTGGTGTTCTTCATCAACGCTAATGTGATAGACTATTAATTATTTATGATAATATTGACTATAAAAAAAGAAACCAAGAGTTAAAGGGTGAATAAAGGAGAGACCTCAACAAGGGAGTTATTTATTCACATTGAGCTCTTGATATTTGTCCCAATTTTTCCCTCCCACGGTGCAGGCCACAGCAGTAGAAAATCCTTCTTTGACCCCAGGGCTTTCTAACTCTCTGTGTGAATTCGGTTCATGCTTAGCTACAGAACAACATTGCTCCCTTGTTATTTGCTGATCAAAATTCTAAAAAACTGTTCAAAATCGGTCAGAGCCAGAAACAGGAAGCCATTGTGAGCAACATCAGCCAGGCGTAGCCATCCAGAGCTAAGTGGCCCTAGCATCTGTGGAGAGATGCCCCGTGCTTCCGATAGTCTGCTCTTACTTTGTGCTATGTGTTTACAGCATGGATTCTTTTATAAAATGTAAAACTCTGGATCCTAAATAGGAAGGAAATCCAAGATAGATCCCGATTGGAGTTGAGGCACAAATGCCATGTCATCTGTTTATTCAAGTCCCCTCAGTACGGTCACTCCCCTATCTGATAGCAGATTGCGATCCTTAGCTCATGGAATGAAATTGGCTGAACTCAACCAAACTTCGAGTCACGTTTTCTGTGAATGTAGCAAACTGCCTGCCTCACAATTCTCCTATCTTTGTCTTACCTCATTAGGTCACCAGTGGTAGGGCGCTGTTGTTTATGGTGTGTTTGGATTTCTCTGAACTCAGTGTGTACCATCCTGTGTCCCTTCAGGGTATCTACAGCTGTATCCATGGAGTAGCCATAGAGGAGCGCCAATCCGTGATGAACTCCCCCACTGCCACCATGAACAACACACACTCCAACATCCTACGCTTGCTCCGCACGGCCAAGAATATGGCCAACCTGTCTGGGGTCAACGGCTCCCCTCAGAGTGCCCTGGACTTCATCCGTCGAGAGTCCTCTGTCTACGATATTTCTGAGCATCGCCGCAGCTTCACGCATTCAGACTGCAAGTCGTACAATAACCCACCCTGTGAGGAAAACCTGTTCAGTGACTACATTAGTGAGGTAGAGAGAACATTTGGCAACCTGCAGCTGAAGGACAGTAATGTGTACCAAGACCACTATCACCATCACCACCGGCCACACAGCATCGGCAGCACCAGCTCCATTGATGGGCTCTATGACTGTGACAACCCACCCTTTACCACCCAGCCCAGGTCAATCAGCAAGAAACCCCTGGACATCGGCCTGCCCTCCTCCAAACATAGTCAGCTCAGCGACCTGTACGGCAAGTTCTCTTTCAAGAGTGACCGCTACAGTGGCCATGACGACTTGATTCGATCGGATGTCTCAGACATCTCCACGCACACGGTCACCTATGGGAACATCGAGGGCAACGCAGCTAAGAGGAGGAAGCAGCAATATAAGGACAGTCTAAAGAAGCGGCCAGCCTCGGCCAAATCTAGGAGGGAGTTTGATGAAATCGAGTTGGCCTACCGTCGCCGACCACCCCGCTCCCCAGACCACAAGCGCTACTTCAGGGACAAAGAAGGGCTCCGAGACTTCTACCTGGACCAGTTCCGAACAAAGGAGAACTCGCCTCACTGGGAGCATGTGGACTTGACTGACATTTACAAAGAACGCAGTGATGACTTCAAGCGAGATTCGGTTAGTGGAGGTGGGCCCTGTACCAACAGGGCTCACCTCAAACACGGAACAGGAGATAAGCATGGAGTGGTAGGCGGGGTGCCCGCTCCTTGGGAGAAGAACCTGACCAATGTGGATTGGGAGGATCGATCTGGGGGCAACTTCTGTCGCAGCTGTCCCTCCAAGCTGCACAATTACCCCTCTACGGTGGCAGGGCAGAACTCGGGCCGGCAGGCCTGCATCAGGTGTGAAGCCTGCAAGAAGGCTGGTAACCTATATGACATCAGTGAGGACAACTCCCTGCAGGAACTGGACCAGCCGGCTGCCCCCGTGGCTGTGACATCTAATGCCTCCACCACCAAGTACCCTCAAAGCCCGACTAATTCCAAGGCCCAGAAGAAGAATCGGAACAAACTGCGCCGGCAGCACTCCTACGACACCTTCGTGGACCTGCAGAAGGAGGAGGCCGCCTTGGCTCCACGCAGCGTGAGCCTGAAAGACAAGGGCCGATTCATGGATGGGAGCCCCTACGCCCATATGTTTGAGATGCCAGCTGGTGAGAGCTCCTTTGCCAACAAGTCCTCAGTGCCCACTGCCGGACACCACCACAACAACCCCGGCAGCGGCTACATGCTCAGCAAGTCGCTCTACCCTGACCGGGTCACGCAAAACCCTTTCATCCCCACTTTTGGGGATGATCAGTGCTTGCTTCACGGCAGCAAATCCTACTTCTTCAGGCAGCCCACGGTGGCAGGGGCGTCGAAAACAAGGCCGGACTTCCGGGCCCTTGTCACCAATAAGCCAGTGGTGTCGGCCCTTCATGGGGCTGTGCCAGGTCGTTTCCAGAAGGACATTTGTATAGGGAACCAGTCCAACCCCTGTGTGCCTAACAACAAAAACCCCAGGGCTTTCAATGGCTCCAGCAATGGACATGTTTATGAGAAACTTTCTAGTATTGAGTCTGATGTCTGAGTGAGGGAAGAGAGAGAGGTTAAGGTGGGTACGGGAGGGATAGGGCTGTGGGCCGCGTGGTGCGCATGTCATGGAAAGAGTCGGGGGTGAACTTGGCTCCCATTTGCTTTTTCTTCTTTTAATTTCTCTATGGGATCCTGGAGTTCTGGTTCCTTACTGAAGGCAACCCTCCTGGCCAGCACCATTTCTCCTCCCTCGCACACTTCTCTTCTTCCTGCATCTGCCCACCATTCCTGTTTCCATGAGAGGATAGAACGGGCCTCAGTGTGGGAGGACGGAGAGGAGACCGAAGCAAGCGCTGCCTGTGTGCTTCTTCCTAGCGCAGAAGGGCTCTGAGCGATTCACTTTGGGCTCTGAGCGATTCACTTTGAGCGAGGCTTTCCTGATACTGCTCTCTTTGTTCAGGTGAGAAAGCGAAGGTGTTTTAAGGAAGGCCATTGAAGCTCCAGCTCATAAGAGAGAAGAGGCTTTCACTGAATTCTTGCTGCATGGTTGGCATCTGCTGAGGGACCATGTACCAAGCAGAGGGCAGAAAGTCATTATGTATATATATATATAAGCCAAAAATATAAATAAAAAGTTTCTTCAGCTCCAGAAGCCTCATGGGTGGTGAACCGAGGGAGAAGGCCATTGGTAGAAGAGAGATTTCTGAACACGAAGTAGGTAGTCCACTGCTACAGTGTCCCATGGTGCACTGGAAGCAAGAGTATAGAACTGTGTGTGCACATATGTCCATGGAGGCTTGCACACACATGTAGTCAGGTGCCTCTGAATATAGAGAATGAAACCTTGACTGGCTGCTTCCTTCCACATACGTAAGCAATGTGCTTGTTTTTGGCTTATATATAAACCGATGTCACAGGTTACCCCAGCTCAGGCTATCTCTCTCTTTTTCCTTCTTGAGTGAAGGTAGAGATTCTTGACAAAGGAGAATCTGTATGGCAGAAAAGACAACAGAAGAAAATGAGAGGAACTGAGACAACTCTACAAAATAATTTGTCAGTAGTTGCCTGTGCTTTCCATCAGCTTGGGCAGAGAACTTTTCAGTGAGGTTTAAGAGAAATCGAAACAGCTATCAGTCCTTTATCCATACTTAGAGCTAAGGTTCCAGAAAACTCTTTAGCCCCTTAACTGGCTGAGGTTTTGGGGAGAGCTCTTCATGTAAAGCTTTGAAAAAGAGAGTCATTACGGTAGGGTAAATGAGAGGGGGACGTCTTTTAGTCATTTAGGGTAGGGTTAGTGAAGGAGGGGGATGTTTTCAATGCTTTGATCCCTTCTTACTTAACCTAGAGCTGAAAGAGCAAGCAAATTCCCCCAGGGTTGGTGATAAGTGAAGGGGACACACACAGGGGGAGGGAGAGAAGTGAGCTTGTCCCCAAGAGAGAATGAAGGAGACTGAGAGGTGGGAGGCAGCCTCCCTAGGTGTGTGACTTAACTAGTGCAAACACTTCTGATAGACACCTTCCTCTCCTGCAACACTGGTTCCCTCTCAGATTGTAGCACTTGACAGTAAATGTGTGTGTGTGTGTGTGTGTGTGTGTGTGTGTGTGTGTAAAACTCCAGGGATGGAGGTGCTGCCAGATGTGATGCCCCCTCACTTCAAGTTGGAAAATTAAGAAGGGAAATGGATATCTGTCACTGCCCATCCTGAAACTTGGGGTAGGGGTGTTCTATGGGTCAGTCTGCTGTCCTGCCCTCCCCTCACACAGGGTGGCATCCAAAGAGCCCTGGGTCTGTTTGGAAGCTTGACTGCAGGATCGCCTTGTCGCACACAGGACACATAAACCAGAAAGGTGCTTATCCTCCTCTGGAACGAAGCTGCCATGTCTCTTCACGTCACACCCTCCTGGCCTGCTTCTTGCCTTCCTGGTCGCCCGCCTCACAGCCTTCCCTCATCCCCATCCTCGACTGCTGTCTCCCACCTTCCTCCTTGTTTTTTTTTTTCCCTCAGTATCTCATTTAAATGCCAACTGAAGGCCTTGTTTTCTTTCTAAAATGAACATGGGGGCAAGGGGCTGAACCTCTCAACAGTTTGGAGAGAGGAGCACAGAGTGCTTTATTTTAAGTTCCGGGAAAGACTCTGAGAGAGGACAGAGGGCATGAGGCATCTCACAGAGGAAGAAGGAGAAGGGCCATAGAAACGTTGCTTCACTCTGGCTCTGTCCAAGGGCCGGGGCTCATCCCCCACTCTTCCTCTTACCTCACCCTTTAAAATTAAAAAAAAAAAAGAAAAAAAAAACAAACCAACTAACCTAGCGAACAGCAATCTAGAAAACAGGGGGCTCTGATGGTCTCCACAGGCCACAGAAATCAAGATGGTGTTTATTTGGTATGTAAATATTTTGTTTTTTAATTAATTTTGTATAGATAAAGTGTTCTCCTGTGAGTATTCAGGGTGTTGAGCTGGAGGGAGTGGGGTGGGGATGGGAACGAGGGGGGAATTGTTTTGTTATGGGTTTTCATTTTCAGTTGGGGGAACTGTTTGACATGGCCTTTACTTCAGAGTGTCTGGAAAAAAAGTTAATGGGAACCGAAGCCACTATGGTGAATAAGCCAGGGGAAAGCCATTTATGTCCATGCCCCGTCTCTGAAACCTGTCTTCCTGCTGATCTGCGAGAAGTGAGCGTGTACTTTAGCCTGAGTTTTGCTGAGTCTTTATCAGCACTAAACAAAACTCGGTCAGATTCTTATCTTCTAAGGAGACCATAGGAAACCATCAATCTGTCAAAAAGAAGCTGGTGGCATCAGACATTTCCCTGTCAGTACCTGGGCTTACAAAGGTTCCCCAAAAGGGCTTGAAAAAGAATCGAGGTCCAGTGACCTCCCGTTCTTGGCATGGCTGAGAGGTTTCAGGAAGCTAGGTTCCGGGGAATCTCTAAGCAGCTTTCTCTGATACTTGGCAATCATCTTATCATTCTGATCCTTCATGCTCTGGTCCCTGAGCTCTGAGCACCCCGTCCCTCAACCTGTGCCTACCTATAGAAATGACCACTTCAGGCACACCCACGAAATGTCCATTAATTCTATTTTAAGCATGTGTTTTCAGGGTGTCGAGGGATAGCAATGCATACAAGGGTCTTTCAGACATAGACGCTTTTCTAGAAAATGTCACCAGATTCCCTCAAAACTAGCAAGGTAGCTAAAACTAGTTTTAGAGATGGGCAAGTGGGTATGTGAGGGACAGTATCAATGGTGGCTTTAGAGTTACCTTGTTCTTGTTACTGCCATCAAGAAGGTGCTATTTTGTTCAAGTCAGGTGTCCCAAATCTCTGATTTGGGGCTAACCAGACAAATAGAATCTCTTTCACTGGATGGTTGGCTGTGTGAAAGACAACAGCTTAGCAGCTTCTCTCTCTCTCTCTCTCTCTCTCTCTCTCTCTCTCTCTCTCTCTCTCTCTCTCTCCTAAATTGATATACCCAGCATACTGCATTTTCTCCCCAATTATCCTACCATCAGCTGGAAAACTTAACTATCCCTTATTTGGCCTCAATTGATCATCTTTCTCCAACTGGATGCTGGAATTGGGAACCAAAGTATGGTCTTCATGGCCTGCTCTAGAATGAATAAGAAAATGAAGTCTGTCATGTTTTAGATGTAAAATTCCATAGCAGCAAACTAATAGAACACATAAGAATCCAGCAGCCATTCCCATCTCCATCACTGATGGATATGGACTCAGATCCAATCCATACGAAACTGTGAGGTTCTGCAAAGCCCTGAGAGCATCTTATGTTCCATGGTGTCCTTCAGAATCCATGCTTTCTCTCATGAGTGCTATCTTCCATTGCAGAAGTGAGTTGATGGGTGTGGTCCCGCATTACTCCTTTCAGTGGCAATGCTGACCCATCAGCATGCCCAGTGACCTCAACAACCTGACCCTTGAATTTGCCTGAGTGAAGATGTGCACACCCCCGTAGGAGTGCGGCATGTACAGTGGACCCTGTTATTTCCAAGCTGTCACTGTGTATCCTCAACCAGCACCTGGGAAACATCCCCAATGTGTATTCCCTGGTACTGGCCACAGCCATTTTGTGATTGGGGCAAAAATCCCAGATGATCCCGTTAAATGTTGGTGGTGTCAATAGTGCCCAAACGCATGTGTAAAATAGGAGTCCTCTATACAGTGACGTGAGTGCCACTCACCCAGTCTTCCATGGCCATCAGGAACTGCCCCAGGGAGAATTCTCTGCAGAGTGCTGGTCACCTGCACCTCTCATTTAAGAGCTAGGGTTTCTTTTGCTTGGTTTTTTCTTTTCTTTCTTTCTTTCTTTCTTTCTTTCTTTCTTTCTTTCTTTTGTTTTTGTTTTTTAGTTAGTTCAAGATTTAGGGACAGATTAACTGTAATACTTGGGCAAAAGCCTTTGGAAAAGATATTCCTGAACTCATATTGTCTTTTTTTTTTTTTTTTTTTTTTTTGATCACTGTCTCTGAAAAGGCCCTGTCCTTGCTTGGCACCCTGTGTGCGTCTGTTCTTGGTGTGCTAGGAATGATTCACGTGTGCGCATACATGATGTAATGGCAGTTTATTGGTGAATGTGTTTGATGTTTCTGGGCATTGTGGCCATATTGTATGTTCCTAAAGCCATATAGAAAATGTGGGGGCTGCTAAAACACGTGGCATCACCTTTGCTTTCTTCACCTAGGTGTCAGAGAGTGTTCTTGCTGTCTAAGGAATTCTTTAGGGCAAGAGGCACCCTGAGATGGTCAGTCATACTAGAGTGTCTCTGGCCTTACCAAAGGCAAATGACCCGTGGCTTGCTTTCAAGATCCTGGAAGAGTCTGCCAACTGCTTAGCTTTCCAGATAGATTTACTACATCAGGGCTGTGCTGTCCATCTGCTGTTGAAATGAATGTGTTCCCAGGAAGAGTGACATACTAAGCCATATTAGGGATTTGTACATTTAAACACCTAATCTACATTAGGATTTTCATTCCTTTTCCTGGGGATAAGCTATAGTATGCCAGCAGGAGAAAGCAACCAGAGCGTCATGACCCACAGAGCAGGGAGGAAGGATAACGGGTCCAGAAAGCTAGTCAGTTAAGCCATGCCTCATGCCTACCTGTTTAGCTAAGGCCCATGGGAGCCTGGCTTAGGAGTTCTACGTGGGACTTATCTTCCACACGCACTCATGTACATAGTTTATAAACAGCTGAATCTGACGCCATGTAGAGTAGGTAAGAACTGTGACTTGGGAAGCAGAAGACAGACGCATCTCTTCAAACGCAAGAGGGTGAGGAGAGAGCTGTTAAGAGAAATGATCATTTATGTTTAGTATATAATCCATTAGTATACTGTAGGAATCACTGAAGAGTCTGTTCTCTGTTCCTGATCAAATGATATGCCAGTTAATTGACTTGCCTGCATTCTAACCTTTCCTGGTTTCCTTCCCCATCTGCCCTGTGAAAGAGCCAATTGACCCTCGGCATATTTAACCTGTGGGCCTATGGTATGTTTGGGTCAATACTACCATCCACTTTGT